CTACTAATAAGGTTTCTTGAAGAGGTTCTATAATTAGAATGTAACAATGGTTCACACCCGGAAAATGTAATGAAAACAACTGAATCACCTCCTTTAAACTGGTGAATTGGTTTGCATGTCAACTACATCTAAGTAACTATTTAAAAGAAAAGAATACGTACATGGTAATATAGCCTACAGACCACTCCTGCAATAAGAGAAAAAGAAACATGTGAGGATTACATCATGCTGAATCCTGTTGGCACAGGTCTTTTCTTATACATGGCGGTATCAAAAAACCATGGTGGGCGGGCGTGTTGGCTCCACCTGTAATCCAGCACTTTGGGAGGCTAAGAAGGGCAGATCATGTCAAGATATTAAGACCACCCTGGCCAACATGGTGAAACCCCATCTATACTAAAAACTACAAAAAAGCTGGGTGTGGGTGGTGGTGAGCCTGTAGTCCCAGCTACTCGGGAGGCTGAGGCAGAATTGCTTGAAGCCAATAGGTGAAGCTTGCAGTGATCCAAGATCACACCACTGCACTATAGCCCTGGTGACACAGAGGACTGTCTCAAAAAAACCCAGATGTCAAACATTGAGGAAGTAACTGGCCCCAAATGAAGCATAGGGGATGCTTACTGAAAATGCAGTGGGTTTGGAATACTTAGCAAGTGTCTATGCTGGCTGGGAAATACAAAATTATTTTTCAACAAGAAAATGTGCTACTGAGAAATATACAACGACCAGTTGGTAAGTTATGCCATCTTTTGACTGACATCGTCAATCACGCCTCAGTTGGTCATAAACTCCAGTGACTGGTCGCTAGTGGCTAGAGGCCATGACAACTGAGGTCTGATTCACAATGGCAGTCAAAAATGATATTCACTTGATATTCTAGAAGCCCCAGAAAAAGACATTTCTCCTCAAGATGAACAAATGCATCTCACCAGGGGCTCCTCATCCTCGATGTCTTCAAGGACGCAGTCCTGGAGGACCTCAACAGGACCTAAGAGAACACAGAGTGACAGTCAGTGCATGGTGCTGCTGAGGAATCTCACAAGGAGCTTTGGGGAATGTGGACGGGCGCTGGAGTGTGTGGAGCTGGGCGGTGACCAGCATGGACTGAGCTACTGCTGGACTATTCTCCTTGGTGCTGAAGGAAGGCAAAGGAGAGGGCAGAGAGAAATGAAAGAGCCTTGGCTTCCTAGCTACGGCAACCTCATCACTGTGAAATAGTCACCTTAAGAACCGGTTAATACGGAAAGGCACTGTATATAGAAACAAGAAGTACATTAGGGCTGCCTAGAACCGGGTGCAAGGTTGGGAAAACAGAGGGGTGTTACTAATGAGGTTTCTTTGAGGAGAATGAAGAGGTTTTACCATTAGATTGTAACATGCGTGCATAGCCTATAAAATATAATAAAACACTGAATCACCTACTTTAAATGGGTGAATTGGGTTGCATGTCAACTACATCCCAAGAAGCTATGTCAAACAAAGAATACGTACGGTGGTGATCCTCACCCCAGACCACGCCTGCAGTAAGAGGAAAAAGACCATCATGAGGATCAGATCATACTGGTCCTGACTGCACAGGTCTTTTATTCACTTGGTGGTGTTCGAAAACCAGGTATCAAACAGTGATCGTGGTGACTCACCAAATCCAGCATAGAGATGCTGGAGAAAGGGCTCATGGTCTTTAAGTCCCTGGTGGTGAAACCCATCTTGCTCTTACAGCTGGGTGTGTGGTGGCATGATCTGGTCCCTGCTACTCGGGAGGGAGCAGCAATTCCTTGAAGTAGGTGAAGTTGCAGTGACCAAGATCACACCACTGCACTATGTTGGTTTATAGAGAGATGAGGTTTCATTATATTGGCCCTGTCTGTCAGCCTCCCAAAGTGCTGGGATTCCATGGGATGCCACCGAGGCAGTGGGTTTCATGGGATATTTAGCAAGGTCCGTGTTGGCTGCCAAATACAAAATTATTTTTCAGGAAGAAAATGTTGCTACTGAGAAATAGGCTCACTACTAGTTGTCAGTGATGTCATCTTTTGACTGACATCGTCAATCAGGCCTCAGTTGGTCATAAACTCCAGTGACTGGTCGCTAGTGGCTAGAGGCCATGACAACTGAGGTCTGATTCACAATGGCAGTCAAAAATGATATTCCACTGATAGTCTAGAAGCCCCAGAAAAGACTTTCTCCTCAAGATGAACAAGGCATCTCCCAGGGGCTCCTCATCCTCGATGTCTTCAAGGACGCAGTCCTGGAGGACCTCAACAGGACCTAAGAGAACACAGAGTGACAGTCAGTGCATTGGTGCTGCTGAGGAATCTCACAAGGAGCTTGGGGAATGTGGACGGGCGCTGGAGTGTGTGGAGCTGGGCGGTTGACCAGCATGGGACCTGAGCTACTGCTGGACTATTCTCCTTGGTGCTGAAGGAAGGCAAAGGAGAGGGGCAGAGAGAAATGAAAGAGCCTTGGCTTCCTAGCTACGGCAACCTCATCACTGTGAAATAGTCACCTAAGAACCGGTTAATACGGAAAGGGCACTGTATACAGAAACAAGAAGTACATTAGGGCTGCCTAGAACCGGGGTGCAAGGTTGGGAAAAACAGAGGGGTTGTCTACTAATGAGGTTTCTTTGAGGAGGAATGAAGAGGTTTTACCATTAGATTGTAACATGCGTGCATAGCCTATAAATATAGTTAAAACACCAAATCACCCAACTTTAAATGGGTGAATTGGGTGCATGTCAACTACATCCCAATGAAGCTATGTCAAACAAAGAATACGTACGGTGGTGATCCTCACGTGCAGCATCCGCTGCAGTAAGAGGGAAAAAGACCATCATGAGGATCAGATCATACTGGGTCCTGACTGCAAGGTCTTTTATTCACTTGGTGGTGTTCGAAAACCAGGTATCAAACAGTGATCAAGTCACTGACCCCCAAATAAAGCATAGAGGATGCTTGGAGAAAGGGCTGTGGCTTTTGTCTTTGGTTTTGGACAGATTCTTGCTCTGTCACCCAGGCTGGAGTGCAGTGGCATGATCTCGGCTCACTGCAACCTAGCTTCCCGGGTTCAAGCAATTCTCCTGCCTCACTCAGCCTTCCAAGTAGCTGTGACCACTGGTGCCTGTCACCATGTCCGGCTAATGTTTGTATTTATAGTAGAGATGAGGTTTCATTATATTGGCCCTGTCTGCCTCAGCCTCCCAAAGTGCTGGGATTCCATGTGTGAGCCACCGAGGCAGTGGGTTTTCATGGGATATTTAGCAAGTCCGTGTTGGCTGCCAAATACAAAATTATTTTTCAGGAAGAAAATGTTGCTACTGAGAAATAGGCTCACTACTAGTTTGTCAGTGATGTCATCTTTTGACTGACATCGTCAATCAGGCCTCAGTTGGTCATAAACTCCAGTGACTGGTCGCTAGTGGCTAGAGGCCATGACAACTGAGGTCTGATTCACAATGGCAGTCAAAATGATATTCACTTGATATTCTAGAAGCCTCAGAAAAAGGCATTTCTCCTCAAGATGAACAAATGCATCTCACCAGGGGCTCCTCGTCCTCGATGTCTTCATGGACGCAGTCCTGGAGGACCTCAACAGGACCTAAGAGAACACAGGGTGACAGTCAGTGCACTGGTGCTGCTGAGGAATCTCACAAGGAGCTTTGGGGAACGTGGCCGGGCGCTGGAGTGTATGGAGCTGGTGCGGTTGACCAGCATGGACTCAGCTGCTGCTGGACTATTCTCCTTGGTGCTGAAGGAAGGCAAAGGAGAGGGGCAGAGAGAAATGAAAGAGCCTTGGCTTCCTAGCTACGGCAACCTCATCACTGTGAAATAGTCACCTTAAGAACCGGTTAATACAGAAAGGCACTGTATATAGAAACAAGAAGTACATTAGGGCTGCCTAGAACTGGGGGTGCAAGGTTGGGAAAAATAGAGGGGTGTCTACTACTGAGGTTTCTTTGAGGAGGAATGAAGAGGTTTTACAATTAGATTGTAACATGCGTGCATAGCCTATAAATATAGTTTAAACACCAAATCACCAACTTTAAATGGGTGAATTGGGTTGCATGTCAACTACATCCCAATGAAGCTATGTCAAACAAAGAATACGTACGGTGGTGATCCTCACATGACGCCTCCGCCTGCAGTAAGATGGAAAAAAGACCATCATGAGGATCAGATCATACTGGGTCCTGACTGCACAGGCCTTTTATTCACTTGGTGGTGTTAGAAAACCAGGTATCAAACAGTGATCAAGTCACTGACCCCCAAATAAAGCATAGAGGATGCTTGGAGAAAGGGCTGTGGCTTTTTGTCTTTGGTTTTGGACAGATTCTTGCTCTGTCACCCAGGCTGGAGTGCAGTGGCATGATCTCGGCTCACTGCAACCTCAGCTTCCCGGTTCAAGCAATTCTCCTGCCTCACTCAGCCTTCCAAGTAGCTGTGACCACTGGTGCCTGTCACCATGTCCGGCTAATGTTTGTATTTATAGTAGAGATGAGGTTTCATTATATTGGCCCTGTCTGCCTCAGCCTCCCAAAGTGCTGGGATTCCATGTGGAGCCACCGAGGCAGTGGGTTTTCATGGGATATTTAGCAAGTCCGTGTTGGCTGCCAAATACAAAATTATTTTTCAGGAAGAAAATGTTGCTACTGAGAAATAGGCTCACTACTAGTTTGTCAGTGATGTCATCTTTTGACTGACATCATCAATCAGGCCCCAGTTGGTCATAAACTCCAGTGACTGGTCGCTAGTGGCTAGAGGCCATGACAACTGAGGTCTGATTCACAATGGCAGTCAAAATGATATTCACTTGATATTCTAGAAGCCCCAGAGAAAGACATTTCTCCTCAACATGAACAAATGCATCTCACCAGGAGCTCCTCGTCCTTGATGTCTTCATGGACGCAGTCCTGGAGGACCTCAACGGGACCTAAGAGAACACAGAGTGACAGTGCATTGGTGCTGCTGAGGAATATCAGAAGGAGGCTTGGGGGATGTGGACCGAAGCTGCAGTGTATGGAGCTCGGCTGCTGACAAGCATGGATTGAGCTGCTGCTGGACCACTCTCCATGGTGTTGAAGGAAGGCAAAGGAGAGGGGCAGAAAGAAATGAAAGAGCCTTGGCTTTCTAGCTAGGGCAACCTCATCAGTTTGAAATAGTCTGAGAACTGGTTAATACAGAAAGGCACTGTATGGCTCAGTGAGAGCATCTCATCACACCTGCTGCCCATGTGAAGGTCTAGGCAAATCCCAACATTTTATGAAATGTTACAGGATTATTTAACTTCTGTGGATCTACATATCCTGCCACTACATTTATCTCTATGCTGTTGTATTTTTAAAATTGTAGTAAAGCATACATATTTATATTTACTATTAACTGTGCATTTTCATGATTATATTCAGTAACATTCATGATGCTGTGTCAATAATGAGAAAATCTAAATTCATAATCTAGCTTCACCTTGGCAATGGAAAAACAGCAGTGTAATGTTAAATAGAAAAAAAAAATACATATGATTGCAGAAATTAATGGAATAAAAAACAGGAAATCATCAGAGAAAATCAACAAAACCAAAACCAGTTCTTTGAAAAGATCAATACATTGATAAACCTCTACCTTGTCTAACCAGAAAGGAAAGAAGGAAGTCACGATGTACTAATAATATCAGTTGAAGACGAGTGGAATCAAAAAATACTAAGAAAGGAATATTGTGAACACATCTGTGCTCACACTTGGATACATTATATGAAATGAGCTAATTTTTTGGATCTGTTTCAGAAGTTAAAAGTCTTCTCAGGATAAACGAATCATCTGAATAGGCCTATATTTAGAAATTGAAAAAAAAAAAAAAAAACACTACCTGCAGATGAATTCACCGGTAAATTCTACCAAAATTCTTACAAGGAAACGTCGTCTTACCATACAAGCAAAGCAAGTAACCATAATTTTAGCATTGCCTTAGTTCATTTTAAAAATTATGTTTCCAAACAAGACACAAGAAGGTTTATAACTGCTGTATTCATAATTGCCCAAACTGAAAGCAAATGTCTAATATTTGAGATGTCCTTTACTATCAAAAGTGAACCAAGCTGGGCAACATGGTGAAACCCTGTCTCTACGAAAAAAAGTAAAAGTTTAAAAATAGCTTGGTAGAAAGCATGCGCATTACAGCCATCTGCTTGGGAGGCTGAGGTAGCAGGATCACCTGAACATGGGGAGGTCAGGATTGCAATGAGCTGTGATTGCACCAATGCACTCCTGGGTGACAAAATGAGACCTTCTCACAAAAACAAAGAAACAACAACAACAAAAAAACAAACTCTAAGTTGTCAACATAACTTTACTTGTGTAGTTGCATCACCCATTGATTTAATGCATTAAATGGGCACAAATGAAGAAATGAAGAACATGACATAGCATTTACTGAGTTTCTCTCATATGGGACACTGGATGAGTAAACTGGAATTATTTGCTTCAATAAACTTAATGATATAATTTCTACCCTACCTTCATTTTATTGGGGCACCTTTTCTTTTGTCTCCATTTTTTGGCTACCCAGCTCCTGACACGGCGAGCCAAACCTGCAAGGCAGAAATTTATTATAATAAAGACAGTGCTTGACATTTTGCTGGCAGAGGACACAGAGAAATTAGTAAAAACTTTCTCAGTTTAACTTTCGATCCCAGTTTTCACCGACTGCTTTTCAATGCTACCTGAATTAGATCTGGGTTCTAGGAAGGCTTGTTTTTCCAGGCAGATACCTTTATTCAGAGGAGACAATATAGAAAAGCAGAAGTTCCAAATTACCAAAAATAGGCTGGGTTCAAATCCTACTTAGAATCTGCACATACCTGGGAGAGGGATATGAACCTATCTGTGCCTCTCTTCCCTATTCTCAGATGTGAAAACGTTAGTAGATATAGGCTATAGACCTACTAAGGTCTATAGTGTCTAAAAGGATGAAATGCAGATAAAGCCTTAAAAGACTCATGTTTTTGGAAATGCCCTAAAATGTTCAATCAATGTCGGGAAGAATCATCCAGATACTTGGTAGTGGTTGAATACAGAGAGGGAGCTTCCATGTCTCTGTGCAGGGTAGGATGGAAAGTGACTTTACAGTTTCCATAACCACATGATTTCCAGCTCATGACAGAGATCTGTGATTTCCCTGATGCCCAAGTCAGCCCCAAGGGACAGGCAGGGAAGGGGCTACAACCCATATTTCCAATTCAGTGAATTAAAACTCAGACATTTTGAGTGACTTGCCCAGAGTCACCACAGTGAGGAGCGATAAATCTGAGGTAATAATGTAGTTGGTTCCCTGGGGATAGAGATCCTGGAACACCTGAGTCCTCTAGATCATGCCCTGGACCCTGGACCGAGAGCTCTTCTCACAAGCTTTGTGAAATCCTGCTGCCCCAGTATTTCTGTGGGATGGTTGATGTTCTGGAGAGGTGGCAGGTGGCTTACCGCATTTACTGACCTACTCTATTATCCCTATGTTGTCACTTTTATTAGTTTTATGACCCATAAGGCAAACATTTTAAGTCTCTCCGTTATGATGCACGGTCTGAGATTTTACCTGAATCCACTCTTTCCACCCATCTGGTGATTCTCATCTGCTGGGCTGGAGCTGGCCTGCCATAAAAGAGGACACACGGCATACCACGGAGCTGCTGCGTGCCCCACTCCTGTGCACACTCTTGCCTTGCTTTCTGCTTTCCCAGCTCTGACAATCCTAATTCTGGCTTCCAAACCAATCCTGTATGTCCCTCTCAGTTCTCAGACTTGCCTGAACTGTTGGATATTTTAATCACTGTTGTGACCATGACTGAATGGTGACATTTCATATATCATAGTATATGTTTATCTTTTTATATATTTCTTAATAGCAGTTAACTTACTGTTTCAGACTTTTAGGAACATTTCTGGGCTAAGTGTGCTGGCCCATGGCCGTAATCCTGACATTTTTGGAGGCTAAGGCAGAAGGATTGCTTGAGGTCAAACGTTTGAGACCAACCTGGGCAACACAGTGAGACCTCGTCTCTACAAAAAAACTAAAAATTACCGGATGTGGCGGTGAGCACTTGTATCCCTAGCTACATGGAAGACTGTTGTGGGAAGATCATTCAAGCCTAGAAGATTGAGGCTGCAGTGAGCTATGACCACGCCACTGCACTCCAGCCTGGGTGACAAAGCAAGACCCTGTCTTTTCAAAATAAAAGCATTACTGTGTCACAAGTATCCCCATTTTATTTCTCATTATCTAATATTGCTGTTTTCATCCTGAGGCTTAATTGCTTTAGTAAGATTAAAAAAAAAAAAGTTTTTTTTTTTTTAGAAAAGGTCCTATTTAAAGGTCATATGCACACCTTTTTATAAATTCTAGTTTTATATGCCATATATCTAGAATTTACACTCTTGAGGTACTGAGTCTTCTTCTTAGAACCAGCCTCCTCATATGTAACACAGTATAATTCCCTTTTTATACCTGACTCAAACATTGAGAGGATAGAATAAAATGAAAGAGCAGTCTGGATACCGCGTAATGCACGATGAATCACAAAGCAAGCTTTCTCAGACTAACTCAAAGGCGAAAAGTGCACAGTTAGCATCCTCTGCAGAACCCATAGCAAAATAAAATTTTGAGAAAATATGCACTTTGGCTGCCCAGTGAAGTTAGAAGGAAACTGTCACAGGTCATCATCAAGACTTCCCCAACATTGGCTTTTATTTTTAAATAATGAAATACACATCATTTCCCCTGCTTTCTTTCATGTATATTACTGCATGTTCTCTTTGCTTTTCTGCGTACCCTATCTTGGGAATCACTCCATAGCAATAAAAAGACATCTTACTCTTTTTTACAGCTCCATACTTCTCCTTTATGTAGATGTACCAGCTTATTTTTTTTTCTTAGAAATAAACATTTAATAAGGACTGACAAACAGAAGCCATGTCTGTGTCTTGAGTGGTGGCAAGACAAGATGGTGGATCCCTGTGCCATTACCCCTCACACCCCTCAGACTGAGGGTGTGTGTACCATAGGGAAGGGATGGTTCAGAAGGAAGGTATGGGACAATTGAAGTACGATAACATTAAGGTCTTTTTACCTATAGGCAGGGTTTACAGTAAGTACCTGCTCTACCCAGTGGCTCACAATGCCCCACCCCACAGCCCCACCCAGTGGCTCACAATGCCCATCCCTGCTGCTGCCCACCTGTGGTCACCATGCCCCTCTATGTGACTGCATTATTCATCCTGGGCTGCCTGAGCTTTCCAGTCCTGAGAAAAGTGTGTGTGGAGGGAAGGGTGGTTGTTATTGGAAGTCACCCTGGAGGCTCAACTCAGTAGAAAACCCTGGTTACTAATGTCAGTTCCATTAGCATCTCTGGTTTTCTGAGTCTGGTAGCTTTCATTTGTTCAACGAATATAGTTATATGCAAATGTTTGACTGATTTTGTAACTAGATGCTCCTCTCCTGTCTTACAGGTGTTAGTTTTTGTCTTCAATTTGACCATAGCAAAAAAAATGAAATGCTTCCTCTCTCCTCCCCTTTTCCATCCTGTAGGAAGGGGAGCCATGAAAACAAACTCTTTTGCACAGGCAGGGTCTGGCCTTCTAACTCCAAGTCTTTACCTTACAAATTCAAGTCTAAAGACATTTCATCTCTTTTGGAACCTGTAACCATGAGTTAGCTCTACCTGTCTTTCAGAACAAGGAAGTAAACAAAGCCCGTGAAGTTACTGGAGTAGGGCTGAAGAGACATTCATGTCAAAGTGGGAATTTTAAAGTAATCAGAGCTCCAGGGCTAAACTTTTGGGTAAAACCACAACAAAAACTTTTTTACAGCTCTGGCAGTAACATTTCATACGTTTTGCAGTCATTTTAAGCATGTCCCTCAATTTTTCCTTCGGTTTTCAAATGACAATTGGAAGAAATAAAGCTGCTTCTGTCAAGGTGACTTCAAACCATCTATTAAGAACACCATATAATCCCTTCCATGGCAAACTCTACTTTAAATTTAAGAAGTCTCCAAATATTTGAGTCTGAATTATCCCAATTATTGGCTTCCTTATTAAATAGGAGAAAAGAAATGATTGGGCCTTTAACCAGCTCCTTCACTGAGGTGCCACAGTAGCTGGATAGGTAAGGCTAGAGAATGGGATGGAGACTCCAAAACTGGAGTATCTGAATTTTCATCCAGGAAAGGGAGAGACTAGACCAAAAAGGCCTCAAGCAAGAAGGCTCAACAATGAAGACAAGAGGCAGGAATAGCCTTTGTCCCCCATGCCCAGCCCCAGGAAAGCTGGCTATAGGCAGGAGGGAGCTGGAACCTGAGGATGTCTCTGGGGTGAGGGGATGGGAGGAAGGTGGGAGAGGTGGTGGCCAGAGATGTGCCAGAGAGAAAATGGTGCCCGTGGCTTCTTTACCTTTGCGCCTCTTTGGTTTTACGGGCTGCACGTCCTGCACCTCCGCCACTCTGGGATGTAACACAGCAGGCTCTGGAATGGTGGATTCCTCAGACTGGCTACAAGCCTCGCAGAAGGTACAACTGAGGCCAGCGCTGGGGCGCAGGCAGTTCCCCATGGGTGATATACAAGGGGGAAAACAACACACACAAAAAAGAAAAAGAAAAATAAGAAAAAGCAACACACACACACACAAAAGAAAAACACAAAACAAAGCAACAAATAAAATAAAATAAAAAAAAAAGCAACAGAGCAAGCGCCAAGGGCACACTTCTGAGAGTAGTCGGAGCTCCTCCTCCTACCACTACCAGCTTCCGACTGAAGGCTGCTGGTCCTGGCTGATGCCTGCCCCCCACAAAGCATTCTATGTCACCGGGTTACCGTTACCAGGAAACAACAAAGTCAGGCCAGTGACTCACAATGCCACTTCCCAAAACCCCATCCAATGGCTCACAATGCCCATCCCTGCTGCTGGCCACCTCTTTGGTGACTGCATTATTTATCCTGACCTGCCCGAGATAACCCATTTTTCACGATAGGCCTCAAAAAACTCAGAAATGTCCCTTCATAGATTCTATAGTGTGTGTCTAACCTGTGAATAAAAACAAAAGTTTCATTCTGCGTGATAAATCCACAAACGCAAAGCATTTTCACAGAATCCTTTGGGGCCCACCTCTCACCCTCAGCTTCCTGTTCTTAGTTATTTGGGCTTCTGTCTTGTATGATCTGTCAGGTTCTAGGCCTTGTAAGGGTGAGTTCCATGTCTCCACTCACTTATATGTGCCCAGGACAGTTGGCTCTTCGGAGGCTCTTCATGGTGACTGAGGCTATGGATCCTTCGCATTGTTCCTTGAATCCAATTGACAATACTCATCCTGAAATGATGCTTTGAAAGGGATGCTTCCAGTCCATTGTGGGTCCACCGTATTATGAATCCCTAGTACCCAATACATGGCATATAAGAAATAAATGAAAAATTAGTGAATGAACTCAAGTGTGCCTACAAGGTGAGAGAAAAGTGGTCCTACTTACTAGGTGTGCTATGAAGGCATCTGGGACCATTGGCTCTGCTATTTCATAGTAGACCTGGGGCTTTGAAGGCTGGTATTTCCTCATTCTAAACCTTAGATTCCAATAAATTACCACCAAGTTGACAAAGGTCCACGGGCCAGAGCTCTTGGGGTGAACATACCTTTTTTGGGTGTGATTCATGGACAGGGGCTATACAAAACTAAAAACCATGTTTGTGTGCTGACTACCTGCAAGCCGCGGTGAGAAAACACTCTGTATAAACGATCTTATTCAATGCTTGTTACAAATCCCTGAAGTGGATTTTCAGACAAACTTTCTATTCTACAACCTTTTGGAACAAGAGGCTAGTGTAGTGAGCTTCCACCTACTCACCAGCAGATTCAGATATTTGTTAACTGATGACCAATCTCGTTACATGTATACTCCTACATGTTTCTCCTCTTCCTCTCGTGATTTTATAGCAAATCCCACACATCATAGAATTTTCTCCCTGACTGTCTTGGTATATGGCTGTAAAAGATACGATTCTTGTTTGTTCTTTCAACACAAGGTCTGTCACCCAGGCTGGAGTTCAGTGGCATGACCTTGGTTCACTGTGGCCTCTCCTGCCTCAACTTCCTGAGTAGCTGCAACTTACAGACTCACACCAGCATGCCCAGCTAATCTTTTTATTTATATTTTAGTAGAGACAGGGTCTTGCTATGTTACCCAGGCTGGTCTACAATTCCTGGATTCAAAGGATCTTCCCGCCTTGACCTCCACACTACTGAGATTATAGGTGTGAACCGCTGTGCCCGGAGACAAGAACTCTTTAAAAACTATAATCCCAATACCATCATCAACCAACCATCTCACACCATTGCTCTTTATCACTGTCAACTCTCCTTCTAGCTCCAAATTTCCAGTCATTTCATGTATTTATTGTTTGAATCAGGATCCAAATAAAGTCTCTCTTTGGGATTGTTTGATTCACCTCTTAGGGTTTTTTGGATCCTGACAGCTTCCCACTTTGATCTCTGTGCTGTCCCTTGCAGTCCATTTATTGAATAAATCAGGCCATTTCCCCATAGTTTGAATTATGCTAAGTGTATTCTCATTATGCTGTTTCTCATACTGTGAATTTTGCTAATTGTATCTTGTGATGTTGGTTAACTTGCTCTTCACTTTGTTCTCATTTTGATAAATTAGTCTTGATCTCAAGACTTGGTGAGATTCAGGTTGGACTTGAGGGTCAGGGCAAAAAGGCTGTGTTAGTTTCTTCTGGGAGGAGGTGTGTACTCTCTGGACATCTTTTTTTTTTTTTTTTTTTTTTTAATTGATGTTCATGGCCATTGATCAATTATGGATTGAACAATGAAGATATTGTTATATCATTCCTTCTTCGTTTATGAGCTGCCACACTTCAAGAAAGAGATACTGCTACCCTAAGAAGGGCCTTGCGTGAATAAAAAAATGAAATAAATATAAAAGAGATGCTGCTTCTTATGAACTGTGTTACTCACTTGTACAACTTGTATAGAAAACACCAGTTCATGGCTTGATTTCTTCTGTTTACCATTTCTCAAAATGATGGGCTGTTTCATTTATATCCTTCAATGGTGACCACTTCTATTAATTTATTTAGACAGGGAGGGTCTAGCTCTGTTGCCCAGGCTGGTAGGCAGAGAAGCAGTCATGCCACTACAGCCTCAAACTTCTAGGCTCAAGTGACCCTCCCATCTCAGCTTCATGAGTAGCTGGGACCAAAGACACGGGCCCTCAAACCTGAGTAATTTTAAAAATATTTTGTTGAGACAAAGTCCCCCTATGTTGCACAGGCTGGTCTTTAACTCCTGGATGAAGTGATCCTCCTAACTCAGCCTCCCAGAGTGTTGAAATTACAGGCATGAGGAGCTGTGCCAGCCCACATTTATTTTTTCAAAAGGATCATTATGAATGCAGATATTCAAAAATATCTGATATATCTCAATTCACTGCAACTATTATCCTTACTAATATACAAAATGTCCCATCTTTGGTTAGAAGGAGTCCCTTCAGATTGGCCCTTCAGACATGTTGAAATCATCCTAATAATCTTTATAGATTCTTTGCTATCCAGAATGATAATATATTCCAGGCTCCGTACACATTTCTGGCCTAGACCTGGAATCAGCACTTTCTCCAGGAAGCCTTGTTTCCTTTCATTGGGCAATGGTATTTTGAGACTACAATCTTGGTGCTAGAGGTAAATAGTATAATTTTAAAACTTAAAAAACTGCCTGGCTCATGTCTGCAATCCTAGCACTTTGGGAGGCTGAGATGGGTAAATCACCTGAGGTCATGACTTTCAGAGCAGCCTGGACAACATGGTAAAACCCCATCTACTAAAAATACAAAATATTAGCCAGGCATCATGGCGGGAGCCTGTAATCCCAGCTATTTGGGAGGCTGAGGCAGGAGAATCACTTGAACCAGGGAGGAGGAGGTTGCGGTGAGGTGAGATTGCGTCATTGCACTCCAGCCTAGGCAAAACCAGCAAAACTCTGTCTCAAAGAAAAAAAAAACAACTTAAAAATAATTAAAAAATTAACAGCTTTATAGAGATGTAATTTACAAACTATAATCTACCCATTTTAAGTGTACAATGATGGTGTGTGTGTGTGTGTGTGAGAGAGAGAGAGAGAGGGAGAGAGAGAGAGAGAGCGAGCGAGAGAGAGACAGGGTTCTCACTCTGATACTAACGCTGGAAGGCAGTGGTGCCATCATGGCCCACAGCAGCCTCAACCTCTTGGGATCAGGTGATCCTCCTGCCTCAGCTCCCTGAGTACCTGAGACTATAGGCTTGTGCCACCACACCTGTTTAAGTGTTTAAATTATTTGTAGAGATGAGTCTCTTTATGTTTCCCAGGCTATTGTTGAACTCCTGGGCTCAAGTGATCTTCTTGCCGTGGCCTCCCAAAGGGTTGGGATTACAGGTGTGAGCCACTGCGGTTGGTCCAAATCAATGATTTTTAGTATATTTACAGAATTATGTAACAATCACCAAAATCTAGTTTAAGAACATTTCATCATCCCAGAAAGAAACTCGTGCCCATCAGAGTCACTTTTCAGTCTCATTCCCAGCCCTAGTCAACCAGTAAGCTGCTTTCTATCTCTATATTAGGCTGTTCTGGACCTTTCATATAAACGAAATCATGCGACGTGTGTTCTTTTGCATCTGGCTTCTTTCACGAAGCATTGCGTTGCTGAGGTTGATCACCGTGGTAGCATGCCTCAGAACTCATTTCTGACTGCTGAATAGTATTCCTTCGTATTCCCCACATTTGAATTCCTTCGTCAGTTGATGGGCATTTGGCTTGTCTCCACTTTTTGGTTCTTGTGAGTGGTGTTGTTGTGAACATTCACCTACAAGTCTTTGTGTGAACATACATTTTCATTGTTCCTGGTTAGATACCTAGAAGTAAAGTTGCTGACTTTTAAGGCAATTTGACTTTATTTTATTTTGTTATTATTTTTGTCCTGAGCCCCTTGCGCCTTCTGCTAGAGAAGGCGATTTTATTTTTAACATTTTGAGAAACTGTCATACTATCTTTCAAAAAAGTGGCTGTACCATTTTACATTCCCACTGGCAGGGTATGAGGGTTCTGTTCTCCGCATCCTCTCCAGCACTTGGTGTTATGCGTCTGCTTGGTTGTAGTTATTCTAGTGGGTGGAAAGAGACACCTCGTTTCAGATTAATTTGCATTTTCCTAGTGACTAGCGATGTTGAACACGTTTTAATGTGCTTATTGGACATTAAAATATTATCTTTGGAGAAATGTTTCTTCATGTTCTTTTCCCATTTTTAAGTTGGATTGTCTTTTAATATTGTGTTGTAAGAGTTCTTCTGGGTATATTGGTTATTAGACATATGATTTATAAATCTTTTCTCCCGTTCTGCGGCTGTCTTCCCCTTTCTTGATTGTATCTTTTGCTGTGCCAAAGGTGTAAATTCAGCTGATGCTCAATTTTTTATTTTCTTGCTTTTTCCCTTTCCTCCTTTTCCAGGTCTCACTAGGTGGCCCTGACTGGTCTTCAACTGCGCTTTTGATGCATCTAAGACATCAGTGCCTTACACAAGATCACAAGAATTTACTCTCATGTTTTATAAAAGTTTCATTGTTTTTAGTTTTACATTTAGGTCTGTGATCTGTTTTCAGTTAATTTTTGTGTATGGTGTTAGGCAGGGACCCAAATTAATTTATTTGTACATGAATATCCAGTTGCTCCACCAGCATTCGTTGAAAAGTCTATTCGTGGTTAAAAACAGTGGTGGGAGGCCAAGGCTGGAGTATTGCTTGAGTCCAGGAGTTTAAGGCTAACATCTGCCTAATTCTCCCCATAATTTCTCCAACATCTGCCTAATTCTTGCCCCACACCCAGCCCTGGGTAACCACCATTCTACTCTCTGCTTCTATGAGTTCAACATTTTTTCTTTTTTCCTTTTTCTTTTTATTTTATTTTTAATGAATCAGTTCCTAAGCAGAGTTCAACTTTTTAAGGATCCACACATGAATGACATCATGCAGTGTTTGTCTTTTGGTGCTCTGCTTATTTCACTTAGCATAATGTCATCCAGCTTCATCCATGTCATCGCAAATGCAACAATTTTTAGGCAGATGTTGAAGAAATTATGGGGAGAATTAGGCAGATGTTAGTCTTAAACTCCTGGACTCAAGCAATACTCCAGCCTTGGCCTCCCAAAGTGCTGGGATGACAGTCATGAACCATTGTTTCCAACCACGAATGGACTTTTCAACGAATGCTGGTGAGGCGACTGGATATTCATGTACAAATAAATTAATTTGGGTCCCTGCCTAACACCACACACAAAAATTAACTGAAAACGGATCACAGACCTAAATGTAAAACTAAAAACAATGAAACTTTTATAAAACATGAGAGTAAATTCTTGTGATCTTGTGTAAGGCACTGATGTCTTAGATGCATCAAAAGCGCAGTTGAAGACCAGTCAGGGCCACCTAGTGAGACCTGGAAAAGGAGGAAAGGAAAAAATGCAAGAAAATAAAAAATTGAGCATCAGCTGAATTTACACCTTTGGCACAGCAAAAGATACAATCAAGAAAGGGGAAGACAGCCGCAGAACGGGAGAAAAGATTTATAAATCATATGTCTAATAACCAATATATCCAGAAGAACTCTTACAACTCAATATTAAAAGACAATCCAACTTAAAAATGGGAAAAGAACATGAAGAAACATTTCTCCAAAGATAATATTTTAATGTCCAATAAGCACATTAAAAAGCGTTCAACATCGCTAGTCACTAGGAAAATGCAAATTAATCTGAAACGAGGTGTCTCTTTCCACCCACTAGAATAACTACAACCAAGCAGACGCATAACACCAAGTGCTGGAGAGGATGCGGAGAACAGAACCCTCATACCCTGCCAGTGGGAATGTAAAATGGTACAGCCACTTTTTTGAAAGATAGTATGACAGTTTCTCAAAATGTTAAAAATAAAATCGCCTTCTCTAGCAGAAGGCGCAAGGGGCTCAGGACAAAAATAATAACAAAATAAAATAAAGTCAAATTGCCTTAAAGTCAGCAACTTTACTTCTAGGTATCTAACCAGGAACAATGAAAATGTATGTTCACACAAAGACTTGTAGGTGAATGTTCACAACAACACCACTCACAAGAACCAAAAAGTGGAGACAAGCCAAATGCCCATCAACTGACGAAGGAATTCAAATGTGGGGAATACGAAGGAATACTATTCAGCAGTCAGAAATGAGTTCTGAGGCATGCTACCACAGTGATCAACCTCAGCAACGCAATGCTTCGTGAAAGAAGCCAGATGCAAAAGAACACATGTCGCATGATTTCGTTTATATGAAAGGTCCAGAACAGCCTAATATAGAGATAGAAAGCAGCTTACTGGTTGACTAGGGCTGGGAATGAGACTGAAAAGTGACTCTGATGGGCACGAGTTTCTTTCTGGGATGATGAAATGTTCTTAAACTAGATTTTGGTGATTGTTACATAATTCTGTAAATATACTAAAAATCATTGATTTGGACCAACCGCAGTGGCTCACACCTGTAATCCCAACCCTTTGGGAGGCCACGGCAAGAAGATCACTTGAGCCCAGGAGTTCAACAATAGCCTGGGAAACATAAAGAGACTCCATCTCTACAAATAATTTAAACACTGAAAGTTAAAGGATGAAAAATATATTCCCCACAAATAGTAACCAAGAGAGAGCTTGGGTTGTTATACTAATATCGGACAAAATAAACTTTATGTCAAAAAAATTGCAAAAGATAAGGATATTACATAATAGAAGGGCCAATTCACCAAGAAAACATAATAATCATAAACATATATGTCATAAACTTCCTAGCCCTAAAATGCATCAAGCAAACTGACAAAATTTAAGGAACAAATACAGTTCTACAAAAACAGTTGGAGACTTTAATATCCCACTTATTTTTTTGAGACAGAGTCTCACTCTGCTGCCCAGGCTGAAGTGTAATGGTGTGATCTTGGCTCACTGCAACCTCTGCCTCCCAGGTTCAAGTGATTCTCCTGCCTCAGCCTCCCAAGTAGCTGGGATTACAGGTGCCTGCCACCATGCCTGGCTATTTTTTTTTATTTTTAGTAGAGATAGGGCTTCGCCTTGTTGGCCAGGCTGGTCTCGACCTCACGACCTCAGGTGATCTGCCCACCTTGGTCTCCCAAAGTGCTAGGATTACAGGCGTGAGTCACTGTGCCCAGCCTGCTGAATTTTTGATACTGGAACTTATTTGTGCATGAGAGCCCTCTTTTGATAAATGTCTTTGTTATTTCTATCATTTCACTAACATTTACCCCAATTGAGATAGATGATCAACTGATGAACCACCTGACTAGTACTGTGTGCACAATATTGTTAATCGAAGTAAATGTAGGTACTCTTTTACCAAATCAAGGTGGAAAGCTACAGAAAAAGAAAAAAAGAAAACAAAACAAAACTTACCCTGACCCTTTCCATCCATTAGTGACATAAACACAGAAAGATCACCAAATGGACCAAATGAAGGAGCCAGACAATCAGACCAAAATGATATAAACACATTTTTCAGAAACACACCAAAGGCACCCAGGTTGAGAAACCTGGGTATTCACGTGCAGAGGACTGAAGTGAGACCCTTACATTGCACAAGAACACAAACATCAACACAAAACCAACTCAGCACCTAAGTTTAATCCTGAAACTTAACAAGCTCTCAGGAAAAAACACAGGGTGAGTGTCTATTTTGGGAAAACTTGAATCTGTGTACACCAGTTGCAGAAAGGAAAAATTAGGAAGAATATACCCATAAACAAGATAACATTTTCGCCATCTCGCTCGCTTTATTTCCCAATGGGAAACAGAAATCCCTGCTAACAAAAGCAAATATAAACAGGTTAAACAAAGGACAACTTTAAAATATATAAACAAGGAGAAAATGGTGAACCCAAAGAAAAGGCACCCTACAGGTTGGGATAAAATTATAGAAAATCATGTATCCAAAAAGAACTGTCATCTAACATATGCAAGAAACTAAAGGCACTAAGTGAGCATAATGATAAAATAACTAAAACCTCTATTTACCCAAACAACCTGCCACTGGCATAAAAACAGAAAGGCTACCCAAAGGACAGAATGAGGGAGTTCCACATGCCACCCAAATGAATGTACACTGAACATGTTTTTCAACACAAGACAAAAAGACACAATGGGAAAATAATAAATGATTTTGAGCGAACTGGATAACCACATGAAAAACATGGAAATAGGACAAAAATCGATGTCAATTACACTGAAGGCCTAAACTCAATCTTGAAACCATTTACTTCCCTCAGGAAAAAAAGGGTAAGCACACAGTTTAGAAGACTAATCTATGCACATAAGTTGCAAAATATGAAATATAAAAAGAAAAAGAAAGTTAGAAGGAAAAAAACCATAGACAATGCCATGGATTGGCAATCTTTTTCACCGGTTTTAACTGCACACGGAAGTCACCACTAACATGTAAACACGTGGAACTATGGAAAACATCGGATCTTATACTGTGAAAGGAAAACAATGAACAGAAGAGAAGGTGCCTCACAGACTGAAAGAAAACTATTGAAAATCCTGTCTTTGATAGGGGTCGTTATAAAATTTGTGCAAGAAACTAACGCTACCATGCGGGGGGAAACAAAAACAAACACCCAAGCTAAGACTGGGCAAAGGACCTGAACAGACGTGTCTACCAAACACATGTAAAACTGACTCACAGGTAAAAGAAAAGTCTCTCAAAAGCACTAATCCTCACAAGAATATCAAGGAAAACTGCACTGAGATACCACTTCCATCCACACAGAATGATTGTTACATAAAACAGAAATACAAGTTTTAAAAGTAAACAATTAGTACAGGCTTTCAGAAGGGGAAACTCATTCCCATTAGTGGGAATGTCAACGTCTACACACACTATGAAAAACAGCTGGAAGTGCCTCAAACAAAGTAAAAACGCCATTTCATCCAGCCATCATTCCATTCCTACGTGGAAGAGATACCTGCCTTACCCTCCGTACTGCAGTACTCACGATAGCCAAGATAGGGAATACACCTACCTGTTCTTCCATTGATGAAGGGATGAGGAAACTGCAATATACATCCAGAGCAGAATATTCTTCAATCGTAGAAATGGGTGAAATCTCGTCACTTGTGGCCACGTGGAAAAACCTGAGGAACATTATGTTAAATGAAATAAGCCAGGCAGAAAAAGGCATATACTGCATGATCTCATGCACATGGAATCTGAAACGATTTGACCTCACGGAAGCAGAAAGTTCAATAGTGGTTACCAGAGGCTGTGGGGAAGGGGCGCCTAAGCAGGGATTGGTCATGGGTACAAAGTTACACTTAGAAAACAGATCAGTCCTGCCCTTCTCTTCTATAGCAGGGTGACCAGGGTTAATATTGTAGTGAATTTTCCAAATAGCTGAAAAGGATTATGAGTATTATCTCCACAGACAAATAATACCTAAAGGACTTCACAGATGTTAAATATTGTGATTCAATCAATATGCTAGGTGTACCTATATCAAAATGGCCCCTGTATCTTCTAGTTATATACATATACTCTAGGGCAATCTCTTTTTTTAAAAAAAAAAAAAAAGAATACCAATGACGCTAAAATTTACAAGGAACCATGAAACACCCTGAATTTCAAAGCAACCCTGAAAACACAAAGTACATGGAATGCATCACGGTCCTCCATTTGAAATTATATTGAAAAGCCAGTTATCTAAACAATAGATGACTGGCACTAACCGAGAAACCCAGACCAACAGACAGAATGAGGGAGCTCAATCACAAACCCAAATTCCTAGGTGGTGTACACGTTTTGTAAAAGAACACCAAGGCCGGGCACGGTGGCTCAAGCCTGTAATCCCAGCACTTTGGGAGGCCGAGGCGGGTGAATCAAGAGGTCAAGAGATTGAGACCATCCTGGTCAACATGGTGAAACCTCGTCTCTACTAAAAATACAAAAACTTAGCTGGGCATGGTGGCGCGTGCCTCTAATCCCAGCTACTCAGGAGGCTGAGACAGGAGAATTGCCTGAACCCAGGAGGCGGAGGTTGCGGTGAGCTGAGATCACGCCATTGCACTCCAGCCTGGGTAACGAGAGCAAAACTCCGTCTCAAAAAAAAAAAAAGAACACCGAAAGACACAATGAAGAGGGGGGAATCTGTTTAGTCAATGGATTTGAAAACTGGATATCCCTACGTAAGTAGAATAGGACCCCAATTGTGTAAAAAGACCAAGGATTACCTCAAAATGAATTAGAGACTGATCAACAAAAGTCGAAAGCATCAAACTCTTCCAGTGAGAAGACACATGGTGTAGGTATATTTAGGTCAATGTGGATCTGTGCTCACAGTGTGCCAAAATGAAATAAAAAATACAGGGGGGAAAAACTCATAGGTGATGGGATAGTTTGGTCATGATTCTGTTTTTCCTCATCAGTCACCTACATCAAAGGACAACAAGAAAACAGACACACGTGGGACTGCATCGTACGTTAGAGTTTGTGCCCAAGCAGATTTCTTAAAAAATCCGCCGGGCGCGGTGGCTCAAGCCTGCAATCCCAGCACCTCGTGGATCACGAGGTCAAGAGATCGAGACCATCCTGGTCAACATGGTGAAACCCCGTCTCTACTAAAAATACAAAAAATTAGCTGGGCATGGTGGCACGTGCCTGTAATCCCAGCTACTCAGGAGGCTGAGACAGGAGAATTGCCTGAACCCAGGAGGCGGAGGCTGCGGTGAGCCGAGATCGCGCCATTGCACTCCAGCCTGGGTAACAAGAGCGAAACTCCATCTCAAAAAAAAAAAAAAATTATCCTGAAGTTTACAAGAAAGGTTTCGGCAAACCTACATATGATGAAAGGTTGTCTTCAAAATGTCTAAGCAACAAACACGACTTACCAGCAAAAACACAAAAGAGAAACTAATAACTAAAAAAAATGGGACCAAATAACCTAGACATTTCTGCAAAGAAGAGGTAACGTTGAAAACAAGTTTTAAAAACTTAGATAATATCACAAATCACGAGAAAGACGAAATCAAAACAACACACATGATCTCACTATAATTCATATGGATGTTATCAAAGCAATCAAATACATTAAAAGAGACACAAATGCTGCTGTCAATTTCCACAGACGAACTCATTTGGTCAGAATGTTCATTAGTATACATACTACAGACACCAGTGGGAGCTTCCTCCAAAAGTTTAACCTATAACTACCACTTCATCTAACAAGTCTACTACTAAGTATACTTTCAGGACAAAAGAAATCAGTCCATGCAAGAGGCATCTGCCATCCTATGTGGACTGCAGCACTACTCACAATTGCCAAGACAAAGAATAAACTTACCTGCTCATCCACAGATGAAGGGTTACCTGGTGTATGTGCACAAACACAATCATCTTCAGCTAGAAAACCGGAATGAAATGTCATCATTTGGAGCCACGCTGTTGAACTTGGAGGACATCATGTATGACCTAAGACAGGCAGAAAAAGAAAAACTAATGTAGAATCCAAAATAAAAGGCTTTATTGCATAGGTCTAGAAAGCACAATAATAGTTACTAAAGGTTGGAGGGAAGGGGCACGAGCAGAGGTGAGAAATAGGCACAAAGTTACACTTAGATGAGAGGAATGAATCGTTCCTTGCTGGTCCACAGCCAAGTGACCAGAGGTTAACACAACAACATCACACCCTTTTCACAAAATCTGGGAGATTCCAAATGTTTCCACCACAAAGAAATTCACAATTGTTTCTGATAAGAGAGGCTCTAAATATCCTAATTTTATCATTCCTCGGTGTCTGCATTAATCAAAATGCCCCACTGTAACTCCCCCCGCCCATTGTATACCTCTACTATATGACCAACCTTTTAAAAACTATGTAAATACGCAATGCTAAAATTCATGTGGCCCATAAAACACACTGAATTTCCAAAGCAATCCTGAGAAATCCAAACTACCTCGGTTGTGTCACACTTCCTAATGTTAAATTTCATTGAAAAGCTAGGGACCCCATTCCACACAGAGCAGTGGAACAGATTAGAGGACCCAGACTGAAACCCTCACCCCTAACACCATCTGATCTTCAACAAAATCCACAAAAATTAGCTTTGGAGAAAGGACTCCCTCCTTTCAATAGATGGCACTGGCATAAATGACTAGCCAGCTGCAGAAGACAAACAGTGGGCCCCGTGTCTCACGGTGTACAGACACAAACTCAAGATGAATGAAAGATGTAAATGCAAGACCTCAAACTACAAAAAGCCTGCAAGAGAACCTAGAAACACCCTTCCTGACAGAGGATTTGGCACAGCGTGGATGTGTCTCAGTCTCCAAAAGCAAGTGCAACTAAAACAATTATTGCCCAGTTGCACCTAATATAAAAAGAGCTGCTGCACAGAAGAAATGACCAACAGAGTGAACAGACGGCCTGCACAACGGGAGAAAATGTTCCCACGCATGCATCTGATGAAGGCTAATCTCCCGGATCTACCTTAAAGATGTTAAGCAAATAAACCAGGAAAACAAAAACTCAACGAAGAAAGGGCAGGGGGCGTGAAAACATGCACCTCAAAAGAAGGCTTACAGCAACCAACAGACATGACAACACTTCTCTGCCTCAGTCAGCATCAGAAAAAGGCAAAGCAAAAGGCCCACGAGATAGTATTTCACACTGGCCAGAATGACGATTAGGACACAGTCCACAAGAACGAATGCAGGAGAGGCAGAGGACAGGGATGCTGCTCTGCTGCTGATGGAAATGCAAACCAGTTCAGACACCATGGAAAGCAACGTGGGGATTTCTCGAATGACTTTCTCCACATCACTAATACTCACAAAAATGTCCATGAAAACCATGCTAAGATTCTGTCTCCTTCCACTCACTATGAATACTACCAAAAACAAAACACAAATTTTGGAAGGCGCCAGCCAGTGTAGACTTACAGAAAGGTAACCTCTTCATCACTATTGGTGGAGACATAAACTAGTATACACACACTGAGAAACAGCAAGAGGTTCCTGAAAAACTTCACGGTACAACTACCATGTCAGCTGGCAGCCCCGCCACTGGTTCCACATTTAAAGCAGCTGAAATCCCTGGGCTGAAGAGAGCTATCTGCCTTCCATGGGTACTGAAGCACTTGCAACTGTGGCCAAAGTATGGAAGAACCTACCTGTCCACCCACAGCTGCAGGGATGAAGAAACTGCGGTACAGATACACCATGGAGTATGTTCCAGCCATAAAGCTCTGGGAAATCCTGCCATCTGCAGCCACATGAAGAAACCTGGAGAACATCAGGTCCAACGAATGAGCCTGGTAGAGAAAGTCCCGTTCCACACGATCTCAGGCATGCAGACTGAAAATATCTTCATCTCCTAGAAGCAGAAAGTTCAATAGGGGTTACTAGAGGTCGCTGGGAAGATGGAGAGGGTCTGGGAAGAAATCAGTAATGGGTAAAAACTTCCCCTCAGATGAGAGCAATCAATTCTGGTCTTCTATTCCACAGCAGGGTGACTGGCCTTAACACAAATATATCATATGTCTCAAAGTAGCTAGAAGAAAATATTCTGAATGTTGTTACCACACAAAAATATCATAACTATACAAGGTGAAGAGCTGCTAAATAACCCAATTTGATCATTACTCAGAATACACATGTATCAAAATCTTCCCTGTACCCTCTAATTATATACATTTATATATGGCAAATGGTGTTTTAAGATATATAAAGAAAACAAGGCCAAAATTTATATGGAAATGTGAAATACCCTGAATTTCCACAGTTACCCTGAGAAACACGAACCATGTGGCATGTATCACATTCCCTGAATTCTAATTAAATGAAAATCCCTAGTTAACCCACCCATATGCTACTGGTAAACACAGAGCAACACAGACCAGTGAGCAAAACGAGGGCGTTTAATAATAAACAGAAATTTATATACAGTGAATATGTTTTTCAAAACACTACCAACTGACACAATGGGGAAGGTTTTCAAAACTAGGTGTCCATATGCAAAAGAATAATACAGGACTCTCATTGTATGAAATACACAATAATCAACTGAAAAGGATTAAAGATTATACACAAAACTTGCAACCATAAAGCTCCTAAAAAGACAACCTCAGTGTGCGGATATTTACTGCACTTGGATGTATGCTCACGATTTGCAAAAACAAAAATACAAGGAAAAGAAAATCGTGGCCAATGGACTGCTTTGGTAGTGATTGAGTTTTTTCTTCATTAGTAACCAACAGCACAGCTAACCAAGAAATCATACACAGGTGGGGCCACGTCACACTGAAGAGTTTGTGTCTAACAAACAACGAACAGAATGAAAAAGTATACTAAAAACTAAGAAACATTTGGGCAAACATTCAGTTGGATAAGGGATTATTTTTGAAAAGGTACAAGCCAGTAACACTACCGGCTGGCCAAAAACAAACAAAAAAAGCAGAAAAATAACCAAACCAAATAACCCGAAGAGATATGTGTGCAGATAAGAAACTCATGCAACTTTTGCAAAAATGTGGTTACCATTACTATGCTGAGAAAAATGAAGACCAATACCACACTCAGACCTTACCTAACTCCAACTAGAATGAACATTACAAACAGATTAAAATATTTAAAAAGACAACTTCTAGTATGAATTTCCACAAAGGGGAACTGTTTGTGGAAACGTAAATTAGTATTAACGCTAATACTTTGGGGGTCCTGCAAAGAATAGAAAAGAAAAATAGCATACCATCTAGCATTCCCACTACTGGGTATACATTCAACCTACCTGTCCATCCACAAAGGGATCAAGAAACTCTTGTATGCATACACTAGGGAATATTCTTCGGCCACCGAAATGATGATTAAACAGTGTCATGTGGAGCAACCCAGATGAACCTGGAAAACATGATGTTAAACATAATGAGCTGGGCCAAGAAAGACAAACACTGAATCTTAAGATGTCTGTCTTAAAGAGGTAGAAAGCACAGTACTGGCTACCAGGGTCTGTCTGGGAGATAGAGGAGGAAGTAGGGATTGGTTATGGAAGCAAAGTTATCTTAACCTTAAAGGAATCAATCTGAGTGTTCTCCTCCTCAGCCTGGTGACTGGAGTTAAGAATATTATATTTTTCAAAAGAACAAGAAAGGAGAATTTTATGTGTTCGCTCCACACAAAAATAATACCTTATGAGGGAACAGAGATCCTAAGTACCCTGATTTGATCATTACCCAATCTACACATGTGAAAATGAACCCCTAATTATGCACCTTTATGTTGTGGAAAAAAAAAGTTAACAGAAATAAATACATATTGCTAAAAATCACAGGGAACCATAAAAGCAATTCATATCTAAAGGAATCCTGAGAAATACAATCAAAGTGAGGACCCACAATCCTCGATATTAAATCACACTGCCAAGCTGCAGTTATGCAGCACATATATGGTACCTGGATAAAAACAATACCTAGAATTGTGGATGAAAATGGGGAGGACAAAACAAGATCAACGCAAATACGGACATAGTCAAGTCAATTTGATAAAGACCACCGCAGTGTGGAAGGCAGAGTCTGCTCAATGAATACCTTTGAGAAAAATGTTATCTGAATGCAGAATAGAGAAACAGGACCCTGATTTTACATGATATATGAAAATCAACCCACCCCGGCAAAAAACAAACCAAAAAAAAACCCCCAAAGACCAGAACAAAAGACCATTAACCACAAAATGTTTTTAACTAAAACACAGGTTGAGCATATATTCTGTTGAAGCAAACACCCTGGAAGAAAAACCTCACTGACAATTAAATGCTTTGTCACTGATAAGTATTTTCTTATATGGGTGACCAAAATTACATGCATAAAACGCAAAAATAAACATGGACTACATCAACCTGAAAAGTTTCTGCACGGCAAAGAAACTACTTTCCAAATTTAAAAAGCATCCTATAGATTAGGCAAAAATTTCAGGTAATCATGTAGTTCATGAGTTGTCATCTAAGGTGTACACAAAAAACACTACAAAGTAGCAAAAGAATCTAATATTTCGCAAAGGACCTGAATAGACAATTCTGCGACAGAAAATCGAATAACAGATAAAAGGTCCTCAAAATTAACTATCCAACAAAGTTAATTTACCGTGTGTGGTTTAACTGAAACCCACACACAGATAATCTCACACTTACTGAATAGTCCTAGAAAGTTTTTTAAAAATAGGAGAGGCCAGGCTCGGTGGCTTATGCCAGTAATCCCAGAACTTTTGGGAGTCCAAGGCAGCAGATCATCTGAGGTCAAGAGTTTGAGACCAGGCTGATCAATATTGAGAAACACCATCTTTACTACTGATACAAAAATTAGCCTGGCGCGATGGCGGGCCCCTGTAGTCCCAGCTACTCAGGAGGCTGAGACAGGAAAATTGTTTGAACCCAGGAGCGCAGGTTGCAGTGAGGCCAGATGGCACCACTGCCCTCCAGCAGAGGCAGAGCGAGATTGTCTCCAAAGCAAAAAAAAAAAAAGGAACACGGGTATGGTTTTGGAGAAAAGGGAACTCATACACTAAATGAAAATCAGAATAGACATCACGGAAAACAGCTAAATACCTGAAGACTCCTCAAAAAATTGACACTACAAAAGTCACCTGTTCTATTGTGTTTTAGCGAGGTCTCTAGATTTCCAAAGGTCCTGAAACATCAAAATAACCCTGGACCTCAGCTCAGAGGGCCAGGGGCTCGGAGGGTCCCAGATCCCGCGCTTCACCGCGGCCTCTGAGCTAGGCGCTACTATACGCTGGACACGGGTCGCACACCGTTCCCGGCCAGGGTGCTCACGCTGGGGCGGCCAGGACCCCACAACCACCACCACGCAGACTACTGGGGCCCAGATGCCCATAAGGAGTCAGGGCCCAAAAGCGAGCGGCGGGGAAGGACCAGGGAGGCCCGGAGGGTTCCCAATGGAGTCCATGCCCCGCCACTTACCGCGGAAGCCTCGATCCTGCTCCCCCATCACATGGAAGCCACCACAGCTTCTCCGAAGCTCGCCGCTTCTGGACGCCGCCACTTCTGCTCGCTGGACACCTACTCCACTTTTGCCGGCTGGGACCGCGCGATAGCTTCGGCTCGCTGGGAAGCCGACTGCGCTTCTGCTCATTAGGACTACGCCGCCCACTGTGGCCGCCGCTTTTGCTCGCTCCGACCACATGGCCGCCGCTTCCGCTCGCTTCAAAGACGCTGCCGGTTCCGCCGGGGCCCCGCGGAAAGCGCCGTCTCGGCTTCCGTAGAGGCGCGCACACCAATAGCGTCATAGCGACTGGCTGCAGCACCACCCCCTCTTAAAGGGGCCGCGGCTCGGACTGCACAGAAGCAGCTTCGCGTTGCGGCACAGGCTGAGCCTCTGCCCAGCCCCAGCGGTAGACCAAAGGTACCCAGTCTCTCCTCCCGGCTCTAGGGCCCTAGAGGTGGCAGGAGTGGAGCCCTGTGACCCCAGCCCCGAGATCGGCTCCCTTTGCCTGGGGAGCTTCCAGGACCTGCCGCTGCCCTCCTCTGGACCTCAGCTTCACCATCCCCAAAGGAAGCGGCCTGGCCGGAGCTCTGGGGTCCCTCAAGCGCGGCGCCTCAGGATGCAGAGCGGGCTCCCTGATCCCTCTGCAGAGGGGGCCCTTACAACCACGGAAAGCTGGGGGCTGGAGGGACAGTCCAGCGGAGGCCTCCCCAGTCTCCCTGTCCGCATCCCCCCTGTGGGAGCCCGGGGGCCTCATCGGGGCTGCCTGGGTCACCCGGCTCCCCAGGAGGCAGGCAGGGGCCCTGGGGTCCAGCGCCGCCGCACCTCAACTCCATCCTAGGTCAGCGCCCGGAGGGGCCCTGCGGACTGGACCCAGCCCGCCCCTTCCCAGGGAGAGGGACCCGCATCGCATCTGTCTCTGTAGCACCCACGGGAGGGCCGTGCTGGCCTCTCCCGGGGATCTGGGGCGAGGCGGGGGAATCCCAGCCACCTGGCCATCATGCTGAAACCTCGTCTCTACTAAAAATACAAAAATTAACCGGGCGTGGTGGCGCCCGCCTGTAATCCCAGCTGAGGCAGCAGAACCGCTTGAACCCGAGGAGGAGGTTGCAGATCTGGGGTCACTGCAGCCTCCGCCTCCCAGGCTCAAGCAATTCTCCTGCCTCAGCTTCCTGAGTAGCTGGGATTACAGGCACACGCCACCGTGCGTGGCTGTTTGTATTTTTAGTAAAGACAGGGTTTCACCATATTGCCCAGGCTGGTCTCAAACTCCTGACCTTGCTGATCTGCCATCTTGGCCTCCCAAAGTGCTGAGATTACAGGTGTGAGCCACCTTGTCTGGCCGGGTCAGGAGTTCAAGACCAGCCTGACCAACATGCTGAAACCACGTCTCTCCTAAAAATACAAAAATTAGCCAGGCATGATGGCACATGCCTGTGATCCCAGCTACTTGGGAGGCTGAGGCATGAGAATCACTTGAACCCAGGAGGCGGAGGTTGCAGTGAGCCGAGATCGAGCCACTGTATTCCAGCCTGGGCGACAGAGCGCGACTTCATCTCAAAACAAAAGAAAAAACAAAATAATAGTCAAAATGGTAGAGACAGAAAGTAGAATGGTGGTTGCCAGGGCTGGCAGAGGAGGGAACAGGGAGTTTGTATTTAACAAGTAGAGAGGCACCAAAGCACGCTGAGAGTGCCCCAGCCCGGGAGCGAAGCCCGATCAGGCTTGGCTAGGGCTTGCATGGGGGAACACCTGGAGGGACAGGGGGCTGGAGACTTGTGGCTTCTTGCCTCCTTACTGCTTTCCTCCAATTGTCACAACTCTTCCTATCTGCCCCCAACTCTTTGGCCAGCCCTTTTGCGCCTGCCTGCACCCCTGCTCTGGCGTGGGACCTCTCCTCTTTGAAGGCACCAAATTCCATTGAAGCTAAGAGGGGTTCGATCCTGGCTTGGGCTAGGATTGGGGACTGCCCAAGGAGATGGGGGCTGGTTGCTTTTGGCTTCTAACTCTTTTCCCATTTTTCCTGCTTGCCACAAAGCGTTCCAACAGCCCAATGATTCTCTGGCTTTTCCTTTATTGACTTCCACACACTCCTGTGCTCACTCTGTGTCGTGAAGTGTCCCTGAGGAGGACCGTGATAGCAGCCCTTGGGCTTCATAGCAGCCTGAGGGTGCCCCAACATAGAAGCTAAGTGGGGTAGAGCTTTGGTGGGGCTTGGAGAGGGGACTACTTGGGGAGACTGTGGTCTAGAGGCTCTTGGCTTCCCACTCCCGCTTTCTTTTTTTTTTTTTTGCTTGTCACAACACTTCCCAACTACTCGCTAACCCTCTGGCATTTCTTTTCCAGCTAACCTGCCCCCCACCCGTGGCCAGGCACCTGCCTATGGGGCTTCATCTATGCAGCCTCTGCAAACCACAGCAGTCTGAAGGTCAGGGTGTGGTCGAGAAATGTTGCTGCAAGGGGGAAAAGCTGGAAGCCTGGTCATTCCAGGTGGTACCCCATCCAAGCATCTGTTAGGCTCAACCCTGCTTAGCTTCTGGGCTGGGGGTCCTCAGTCTACTATGGTGATGGGAGGCTGCTGAAACAAACCCCCATGGAGAAGTTGCAGTTCGAGGTGGGGGCACTGGAGGGAGGAAATGGGAGATTAGGGAGTCAGAGGGCAGTTGGAAATGGTTGCCAAAAGTGAAGGAAAGCAGAAAGTTAGCAGGAGTCCAAAAGTCTCCAGCCACTGGACTCCCAAGGTGGTCCCTCATGCCCTCCTCTGCTCAGCTTGCATGCTGGGGCACCCTCAGGCTGCTATGCCAACTGGAGTCAGCCCAGCTAATTTTTTGTATTTTTAGTAAAGACGGGGTTTCACCATGTTGACCAGGATGGTCTCAATCTCTTGACCTCGTGATCCACCCGCCTCGGCCTCCCGAAGTGCTGGGATTACAGGCTTGAGCCACCGCACCCAGCCTACTTTTGTTTTAATTGGCTTATTTTGTGAGCATAACAACAAACAGAATAATTCAGACAGAAATGGCTCTGGCCGGCATGATCCAGGGATGTGAAGCTCAAGAACAGACACTGCTATGTGCAGTGCCAGAAGCCAGGGCACCAGCGGCGCAGGAAATGTACTGCGGGAGAAAGAACACGAGGACACCTCCACCAGGTGGCAGCCACATGGGCGTATAGATGCTTAAAGTAACAATAAATTTTAAAAAAGAATCACACATGTTATGGACTAAATGTATCCCCCAAAATTCATATGTTGAAGCCTTGAAGCCAGGTGCAGTGGCTCATGCCTATAATCCCAGCACTTTGGGAGGCCAAGGCAGGAGGAGCTCTTGAATCTAGGAGTTCAAGACCAGCCTGGGCAACATGGCCAAACCTTTTCTATACAAAAAAATTTTTTTAAAACCTTAGCCAGTGTGGTGGCACATGCCTGCGGTCCCAGCTACTCAGGAGACTGAGGTAGGAGGATTGCTTGAGCCCAGGAGGTTGAGGCTGCAGTGAGCCATGATCGCATCACTGTACTCCAGCCTGGTCAACACAGTGAGACCCTGTCTCAAAAAAAAAAAAAAAAACTAACCTCCAATGTCACAGTGCAGTATATGGAGGGGGGGGGCCTTTGGGATACAATTAGGTTAGATGAGGATGGGGCCCCTTCAATGGAATTAGTGGCCTTCTAAGAAGAGGAAGAGACACCATAACTGCCCTCTTCCTCCTCCTCCCCTTCATGCTCCGCCCCCTTCCTCCCACCTTCCTTGTGAGGACCCAGGGGCCATCTGCAAACCCAAGGAGAGAGCCCTTGCCGGACCTGAATCCACAGCCCCTCGAAGCTGGGCTTCCAGCATGCAGAACTGTGAGGGATGAACATGCCTTGTTTAAGCCCCAGTCCATTCAGCAGTATTCCATTCCAGCAGCCCAGGAAAGCTAAGTCTACACAGCAGGAAAATGCTGAAGCCACAAAGGAACCCAGGGGTCTGATTTCCAGAGCTTTCATCATGACTACCCCGTGTTTGCTTTCCTAGAGAGGACTCTAGAAACCTGAACCCGCCCCTCTTCAGCTCCCCACTCCCTGGCAAAGGGCTCCAGCTGCTCTGGATGATGAGGAAGCCGGGCACCTCTGACAAGGTAACTCCTCGTGGGCTGCAGGAAGGGTACCCTCTTTAGCCATCTTGCCACAAGAGTACAATGAACAAAGGAAAACAGACAAATTTATTCCTTATGCATTTGGGGTCGTGCTTACTGCTGTGTCTGATCTCCGTTGGCTGGAGCCAGAACTTACAATCTAAACTAAAACCCAATTGGCTAATAACTTAAAACTTTTCTTTTCTTTTTTTTCTTTTTTTTTGAGATGGAGTTTCGCTGTTACCCAGACTGGAGTGCAATGGCACGATCATGGCTCACTGCAACCTCCGCCTCCTGGGTTCAAGCAATTCTGCCTCGGCCTCCCGAGTAGCTGGGACTACAGGCACGCACCACCATGCCTGGCTAATTTTTGTATTTTTAGTAGAGAAGGGGTTTCACCATGTTAGTCAGGCTGGTCTTGAACTCCTGACCTCACGTGAACCACCAATCTCAGCCTCCCAAAGTACTGGGATTACAGGCGTCAGCCACCATGCCTGGCTAAGTTCCTTTTTTTTTTTTTTCTTGAGAGGGAGTTTTACTCTTGTTGCCCAGGCTGGAGTGTAATGGCACAATCTCGGCTCACTACAACCTCTTCCTCCAAGATTCAAGTGATTTTCCTGTCTCAACCTCCTGAGTAGCTGAGATTACAGGCACCCACCACCACACCTGGATAATTTTAGCGTTTTAGTAGAGATGGGGTTTCACCATGTTGGTCAGGCTAGTCTCAAACTCCTGACCTCAGGTGATCCACCCACCTTGACCTCCCAAAATGCTGGGATTACAGGTGTGAGCCACTGTGCCTGGTCAATACTTTTAGTTCTTATTTGTAACTCTCCCTAGGGGTTTTAGCTGGCAGAATTTGAACATTTCTGGGTTGGTGGTGACGATATTAACAAGTACGCTAAAATATATCAACAATTTTTCTGTGTTCGCAGCAAGCTGCTGTAGGCACCACCTCAGAACTTCAGGTGTGGGCCACGATTTTCTGCATGGCCCCAGCAACTCCTGGAATCCATAACCTGACCAGGAACGTCAGAGTGCGTTTGTGATTTTCACAATCATGACCGTGGCAGGAATTGTGTAAAAATGAACATATAGTCATTGGCTTTACGTAACCACTGAGGCCGCTTCACAATGCTGGGCAGGGTCTGGTACCTCTGTAGGCTGGAGTGCTTAGACACACTTAGACAGCTTCAGGGCTCAGACACGCAGTCTGTACTTGCTCACATG